TCGTACTCGCAAAAGAGTTTACAAATCTGCAAAAGAATTAATTTACAACATAAGCAAAAAGTCTATCTATTTATACAAAATTTTTTTTGTCACAACTAACTAATTACTATGCTATAAACTAACTAATTTAGTAAAATAAATATAAGTAAAATAAATATATTGAAAATAATAAAAATACATAAAATAAAAATATAAAATTTAATAAAAATAACAATAAAATTTAAAATATTAATAATAAGTATAACACTAAATATTCTTAGACTTCATTTAATTCATAAAATTAGGATTATCGTTAGTATTTAGAAGATCTTTAGAATTACATAGATCCTCCGTATTTTCAGAATTCGCAGAATTCTTAATATTTTCAGAATTCTAGATTAAGAGATCGTTATACTGCATTATCTACATGACTTTATTAGTTTTTTTTTAAAATTTCACTCCCTCTTACATTTAAGACATATTTCATACTATTTGAGTATCTTTTTATTTTATTATTTATCTTTTGAAGTATTTTAATATTACTTCTTTTATTGTTTATTTTGTATTACAACTTGGTAAGTAGATGTTAAAGTAACTTCTTTTTATTTTACTGAACTTTATTTATTAACAAAAAATAATTAATTTATATATCTAAACAAAGACATATAGGTAGATATTGCTCATTTCATTTATATCACATGTGATATTTGGGTTATTATGATTTGATAATCTATGTTCAATTCATATATACTATTTAATAATTAATAATTGGATAATTGATAACATGCGACTTTATCTTTTAATCCAAATGCCAAGAGCTAAACCATTTTTATGTTCACTTTGTTTAACTACTTGTATATCAAAAAAAGCCATTCAGGCATACATGTATACTTTACATCATAACAATAAAATAATATTACACTATAACATATTTTCAACTAAATCTAACATAGAATTTAACAAATACTAAGATGTAATTATTTTTCTTATTAACAAATAACTAGGATTTAACCAAACAAGTATAGGTCATCATCACATTCATATAGATTTAATTCCTGAATATATTTTTGTATATCTGTTTAAAAATAAAATAACATTTAATTATAATCCTTTGTAATGGAAATATCAATGCTACTTTGAAGAAGTAGAAAGTGGGCAAAGACTAGGTTTACTTTTAAATTATTTTAATTGGAATACCAAGAATCATAACAATAGATGAACAAGAGGTTATATTTACTTGAATAATATAGATAGATAATATAAAATCAAATTTTTATGCTGTGAAAATAAATTGCAACAAAACTCTCGCAAATTTTTATGTGAGTCTCATGTAGGCGAATTTTATATTGCTTTAGGTGATTTTATTGAATGGTAAGAGTAATATAAATAAATATTTGATATTTTTTAATATATTATTTATATTTATATTGTATTTATATATTAGCTTAACAGATAATCATTCTGATTCAATTTTACAATCTAAAACTAATAATGCATTTGATTTACTATTAGAATTTAATTATTCTATGTATTTTACTCCTACTTCTATTCCTACTCTTCCTATTATTTCTACTTTATAACTCATACTATTTTACCTAAATCTTCTTTATGAACTTTCTCAAAAATGTAATATATATAATATTTAAACAAAATAAATGAATTAAATAATGAATTAATAAATTATATTTGATTTATCTTTTATTATGTATTTTTATTTTCATTATTAATAACACGAATTTTTCATTAAAAAGCAATAGGTGTATTATGGATTAGATAATACAATTGTCATGTTTCATAAACCATAATATTATAAACTACTGGTTGATTAAGATTACTTTCACCTATTATAGTACTACCAAAAAATAATTTTATCTATAAATATAAAAAATATTTAATAAATTGATTTATTTTAAAAAAAAATTATTTAATATACAAACCCC